AGTTTTCAGTGAAACATATGGCAGAGGCATTTGCTACAATTAATAAAGGAATGCAAATGTTTGACGGCATGGATCAAAATTATGAGCGTTATGCCAAAGTTGACAGAATGGGCCAAGAGTCACTAGCTTGCTACAGGGAGATTTATAATGAAAAGAAAAACAAACTGTGCAGTCTAAATTGGACATCTATTTCAAGAAGTCCCCCAGTGCTGTCTCCTCACACCCCACCAGTGCTGCCTCTTCACTCCCTCAAGATGATCCAATACCTTCAACCAGCAAGTTTCCACAGTACATAAACCTGTCTGAAGAAAGCGACATTGATGACCCACCCAGCCCTGTCTCCTCTTCTGCTTCTTCCAATTAATATAGTCTCCATGTATCCTGTAAATAGAAAATTATGGGGACCCTGTGTGCATTCAGCTGACTACATTTAAGGTAAGTGCTCAGTCACACTGTATCCATTCCTCATTATTTATTACTTTTACTGTACTGTATCCATTCCTCATTATTTATTACGTTTAGTGTACTGTATTTCATTGTAGATTTTTTATTTTTTTTTGAAAAAAAAAAAAAAATTGAAAATTTTTTGGGGGGAAATTTTGTTTTTCTATGTCGGACTTACGACCATGTCGGACTTACGACCTGGATTTGGGTCCCTAACCCAGTCGTAAGTCGGGGAGCACCTGTATTTGAATGGACATTAACCGGCGACTGTATTTCTCTTAAATATTAATTGTGTGTGCATACCATCATAAAATTAAGATGTTATTTTTACTACAACGTAGGTATTGTGTCGGAAAAGTGGAGTTTGGGGGTCGGCCCAGTCTCTATTTCAATTAATCCCATATGTTCTGTTATTTCATTTACGCGTTTCTCGTTTTACGCGGGCCTCAACAGGTTCAATTGACCGCGTAAATGCAGACTCCACTGTATACTGTATTGAAAAAAAATATAAAATTGACAAAATACATGTAAATATATGTGTACCTATGCAAGCAACTTTTGCCTCAAGTGTTTCTACTCATCCAAAAGGTTGAGCATACAGGTTTTTAATGTGTTTTTTATGTACAGTATTTCAAAACATGAATTTTTTTTAAACCCTTAAAGCCCGGGCGACGTAAGACCCACTGAACCCCCCACATGGGCATATATATATTTTTATCCTTTGTCACCTTAAAAATTGGTTAATCAATATAAGAAAAACACCAGAAGGATGTACTTACATTCTAATATGGTTGGATAGTTGTCTGGAGTGTTGATAAGCAGTGTCGAGTGATGAAAGATGCCTTGTTTGAAGCTACTGTGCACAGCCCATAGCGAGCAGAAAGTAATGTTGACACTCACTTGTAATACACAGTTCTTACTTGAAGGCACTTTTATATCATATTTATATCTAATAGCTACTACAAAGCACAAAATATTTCTACTTGCCTCAAAACTATAAAATACTGAACAGTAAGAATATTCAGGCAGCACAAAACTTATCTTTTTTTTCTTATCATTACTTTCAAATATATACAATACAGTATACAGTACTAGGTATATATGTATACGCCTAGCATAAACTCGCCAGGCCAACATACAGGCAATTAAAACATCTAATAATTACTTAAATACATAATATTAGGAGGACACGTCGCTACCTGGCATTTAATTGCAATTATCAAAACCCTCTCCCGCGCCCTTCATCATACACATTGCTACCGTCATCTTCTTGCCTGGTGAATCAGCTGTAAACGCGCACAAAGAAGGCTTCACTAATTTGTGTTGTAATAGCTGAAATATTAAGTCCACAAGGATTTTACTTACGGTAATTATACATCTAAGCAAGGTGAGAAAATTGAGTGACTTTAATTTTGGTTATGTTTCTCAGATATTGCGTTTGGAGTAGTTTTTTATACGGTTTGGTCGAGCATGGCGATCGCGGCTCGTCTTCTATCTACGAAGACAGTCGAACTTAGTGACTAATAATTCTCTGTTTTCAAGTCACTTAGTGAATGACGTTTATTTTTTGCCCTTCCTGAACACAGCTCCTCCTTGACTTACGTTTGGGTTAGGGACCCAAATCCAGGTCGTAAGTCGAAATGGCTGTAAGTCGAAAATACTTAATTAATACATAGAAAATCTAAAATGGGTGTCTCTTTTTCTTCTCAGCACCACAAAACTCTCACTTTTAAGCTTGCCAGCCATTTTAAAGGGAATTACAAACGAAAATTTTGTCTGTGTATTGACGTTGGGACTCGAAAATACGTAATTTGACAAAATTTTGGTACATCTGAGGCAGGTCGTAAGTGTGGGTGGTCGTAAATCGAGTAGGTTGCAAGTCGGGGAGGAGCTGTATATATAAAATTTTTTAACCCCAATTCTTACTGTGCAAGTGTTGTGATAAGTACCATGGTAAATGTGGCCATCCCTATCCCTCTTCTCATGTTCGTTCACGAAACTTTTCGGGCTTCTGCCCTGGGTTTTCTGATTACTCTCAGCATGCAGGCCAGAGTTAAGTTTTTCTCTTCATAACTCTATTTTATTCATGTCCTCAGTAGTGGGTTCAGCCTATCCAGGCGAACTTTAGTGAGGTTGCTAGTCTTAGTGATCCTTCCGGACGTTGACCTTCCGGTCTTACTAGCAATCTAGAGTTATGTTGGGATGAACTTTGTATCATCGGTATGGGTTAAATGAGAACCCTTCAAACGGTGGAATTCTCACCCCAATACATCTTGCCAGAATAATGGTGAACGAAGTTAGCCAATGGAGCACTATGGTAGCAGCTCAGCACTGTCAACCCTTCCGGGTGACTGATACTCACTCAAGCATCATTGCTCAAGCATGATTAATTGAAGCGATGATGTCTGTGCAACCTGATTGGCAACAAATAGAAAACTTTGTGATCCCTCAAAAATTAGTGCTCTGAATTGTAGTGAGCTTGATTAAGAAACAAAGTTCAATGAGCCGAGGGACATTTGAGATAAGAGAAGGGAGAGGTGTATGATACAGTGAGTTAGTTGTTTACGATTGTCTCACTGATAACTCATAGAACAATAGAGGTATTAAATGAAATAAATTACTGAAATATCACAGTTACGAGTCATATTGATTATGTTTGGGAGAAAATGTAATCTCCCTTATATTATTATGATGATACAATGTGACTCATAGTGTTCCTCCTAGTTTAGATGAGTGATGTGCAACTGGAGGATAAAGGACATTTGTCTGGACTGCTAGATGACGGAGGAGACCACGGAATTGTCTCTGGTGAGTTAGTGTTGAGTGAGGAGCTACAATTATTGGATGGCTCAGCTCATACACTATACATACAAGGAAGGCTCCATCATTAGAAGATATGAATTCAGTAGTAGTAGTTTCACCTATGACCCAAGGGGGCCCATACTACATGTAATTATCAAGGATGTAGAGCCACTTGGATTACTAAGTTAGATCCTCATTTGGCTTGCATAATTCATAGCAGCTGTGTCTCAGACAACCTGTTTTCACCATTGGATTGTGCAGTTTGTTATGATCTATTTTTTAAATTAATCAAACTGCAGGAGATAAGAAGGATTTTTTGAAGAGCCAAATTAAAAATTGATGGAATAAGGCCTCGAAGAGTAAATTCCTAAATGTAAACTGGAAAGATCCTAAGTTGGCAGAAAGTTTAAAATTATGGGTGATAGGTAAGAGACTTAATCCCCAGTTAGACCAACCTGCTTCTGCTAAGAAAAGTAGATTATGGGATATCCAGGATAATGAGGCAGTAGGAAGGTTGCAAGAACCTCTACCTAGTCAGCCCAATTTTAGTGGATTCCAGGATCAGGATGAGGAAGTTGGCACTAATCAAAGTATTCAGTCACTAGAGCAGGGAGAACCTGTTCAGACTGACTTCATCCTGTCCCCATTTTGGCAACCTCTTCTACCTGGGGCAAAAGTGTTGGTTACTATGAGTGGAACCAGCCTGCTGTCAACTCAAATGCAGCTGATGGAGAACATTGAGTGTAAGGATAGAATATTATTGTAATACAACAGTTTTTTAACTGAAAACCATTCGAAAAGCGATTACGGCAACATCTTTTGAACGAAAGAAAGCGAGTCATTGCTTTCGTCACTTTCCACTGTAATTCGTACGTCATTTCAGCAAAATATTACATTTCCATATTCTCAGAAATAAATAGTAGTTTTGCTGAAACGTAATGCATTTCAATGTAAATTAGGATAAACTACATGAAAACAAAAGACTTTACCTAGCCACCGGATGTTCAAGATATGTTACTCGTTTTTTTAGTAGTTTTCGGTTAAAATACTCTTATATTAGTGATATTCTATTCATACTGTGCTTGATATAATACATTCACGGAAATGTAATATTTTTGCAACTACAATGCTGATGTCAACACAAGCGTGGTTACAGCGAGACTGACTGAGTGAGGGAGAGCTATGCGTGTGTGTGTGAGGTTGCGGGAGCGGGCGGTGTCCCGTGTTCGGTGCCGCGCGCGAGTTGAATGGCGCGCGATTTGAATGTACTTCAATAACTTCAATGTACAGAATATTCCTCCGGCGGGGCAATCCGCGTATTTGCAAATCCGTGTGTTATAAACCCGAGTATGTTAAGGGCCGACTGAATTCCATAAGGGTGAATTTTTTCCATAACCCAAAATTATGGTCATAATTTCAAAGTTCCAGTAGGGTGAAATTCCATAACCAGAGATTCCATAACCCAAGGGGATGTCTGTACTTTACTAGTACTGTTATAAAAATTTTGTAGAATAGTTTCATAATACAGTAGATACTGATTGTATTAGTTCCTTTGCTGTATCATCAATTATTTTGATAGAGGTACATCTCCCATATATCAATATTTATTTTTCTTTGGAGTTCTACGGTGGTATTTTCAGGGTCAGCTCCTTAGTATTTTTGTCCACTGTTAACTTTTGAATTGCTAGCTGAAGATACAATAATGAAACTGACAATAATTGCAGGAAAGTATACTATATTTCACTTGTTAACAGGTAACTGCAATACCAGTACCTGCATCAGATTTTCATCCTCCTGCAGCCGTGAGAGACTTACGTATTGTTCTCTTGGATGATGTTGAAGGTCCTTCAGACTTTAACAGGGTCAACATTAGTCTCATTTGGACTGCTACCGGTGATGATCTGGATGTTGGTAGTGGTGAGTGAAAAGTAATTTTTTTTAACTAACCATCAGTTTTAGAAGCTCTGATTTATACTCATGAGTCAGGTAAAGTAATTTTTAATACTGTCACTATACTCCCTATAATGAAATTCATTTTAACTAGAATATTTAATTCATTATTGAAAGTTCTTCCTAACTCTCCCTACAGAATCATTCAAAGACTTATCAGCTCTGTTGAGCAAACAAAGTGATAATAACTATTATGTATAATGAGTAAATATGACTTTTCTAGGAAAATTATAAGAGTTAAGAAAGTCCTGTAGGTTCTGTAGGCAGGTGGTGTATTTTTTCATACAAAATATCAGACTGAAAGATAAGATGTAAATTCAGCAAATAATGATGCATACTGGATGCAAATGGGAGGTGAATCAGCTGCTATTTGCAGAGGACACTTCTTTATTGGGTAAGTTAAGTTGGAAAAAATCCAATACTGTGTCAGTGAATGAGTATAGAAGTTTCTTCAATACTCAGAAAATAATGACAGTGAATGTGAACAAAAGTAAATTGATGGAAATGAGAAGACAAAGGAGACATAGAGAAATAAATGTTAGTTTGAGAAGAAATTAAACAAAGATAGATACTGTACAATTATAAAACTGTATATCATTTTGTTTTAAGTCATACTGAATCCCAGGGGATTGATGGTGTAACTAATATATAACTGCAGACTGCAGCAGTTATACTCCCACTTGAATCTGCAGTGACAAGCATATGATGATGTGCATATCCTGCTAACAGTATCTGCCAGGGCTTTTATGATTTTTGGCAATGAAAGTATGATACTATCAGGCTTGAAACTTGTTAGTGTAACTGACAAATCTAGTTTTCTTCTGAAATTGTCCTTTAGCCTAACCTCGCCTTTTCCTCAGCAAGTAAACTTCTTGCCACCACAATAAATGCTTTTGCCCAGTGGTCCTCAGTAGTTGGTACTTTATGTCCTCAGTAGTTGGTCACTTCTGTCACAATTTGGAGTTCATATGACTACAACTGGCTTTATTGTCAGTAAGCTTATTAGTAGGGTGCCAAATCGCTATGAATTCTTTTACCTTTACCTAGTGGCTATTCACTTGAGGTGGCCATGCCAATGGAAGGAGGCCAGTGGCCTATGTAGGATTCCTCCATTGTTCTTAATAATTTTGTCAAGGGCTATTTTGAAGCCCAGTACTGTTCATAATTCCACAGCTAGGTTGGTAGATCATTTCATAGGTCTACCACCCTCTGTGTGAAGAAGTATTTCCTTATGTTTGTTCTATATGATAGCTTGGCAAGCTTGTACACTAATGCCCCCATTAAAGTCATTGTTAGGTTCCTGAAAACCACGACGTTAAGTGAAAATGATTTTACCATAGACACAATGATATAAATCAGGGTTATGTTCCTTGGGTACATTTTGGTCAAAATTTTCTCACAACTTGCCATAAATGTTTCTCTTTCAGTACTATCACCTTCTTGTTTTAAAGTCTCAAATAACTTAAGAGCTTTTGCCTGTATGGAGAGCAATGAACATGGAAAGTTTTGCTATGTTGATCCTCAATCCACATGTTCAGCATTCTTTCCATATTTTCCATAATGCCACTTTTGTTGTGAGTTAACTTTGTATAAGATAATGGAGTAACACTTTTAGCAAATGATTTGATATTTTCTGGACACAGTAGGTACATACCAGTTCAATAAACTTTCATTCTTATAAACTAATTTATGGGTAGACGACATTTGGTGATCGTAGTAATGGTGGTACTGATGGTAATTTTCGCTTAGGGTGCTCCTTTGTTTACTTTTTGTAGAGTTTAATTTGAATGATTTTTTTTTAATGGTATTTTATATAGTTGTCTTTTCCCCAAAAAATTCTATGCAGTAAAATAGAATTTTGGCTGCATAGTATAACAAACCTGGAACAAAAATAAAATTCCGTAAGTGTGAAATTCTGTATAAAGGGGGTTCCGTATATCAAGGACTCTCTACAGTTACCAAATTACTTGGCTCATATTATACAGGATGGTTTGCAACGAACTTCTGCTGTTGACTGCACACACATATTTTTTTTTTTTTTTTGCCAAACTACTGTATACTATGTGTAAAAATGTAGTGCCTTTATTGACTTGTCAGACTGAACTTTACCATCATGTCAGTGTCACACTTTAATTCTCGACTACATTTCTTTCACCTCAGCAGCGCAGTATGTACTTCGTATGACAAGTAACAGAAATGATTTATCAGAGAACCGCTTTAACAACGCATCCAGTGAGACTATAATTTATGACTCCCCTGTTGAAGCTGGAGAAAATATCAACAAAACTGAGGAACTATTACTTCAGAGGGACATTACTTTTTTCTTTGCTCTCCAAGCAGTGGATGATGTGGGAAGAAAAAGGTAAGTCTATAGTAAGGAGTTCACAGTACTGTATTTATACAGTATATTTTTATCCCAGCAGGAATTACAATATCAGGGTAATATCTTCGTTTCTTCCATCTTCACACAACAAAACCAAGTTGTTTACTCACAAAAACTCTTCATACTCCTTTTCAACTAAACATCTATCATCCTGGGAAAATAAAGTTTTTGTCACTTTGTTTTTCTTTTATATCTCTACTGTATCACACTTCTTATGAAGCCTTTCTTTTTTGTGGGCTTGATAGCACTAATGCTAAAATATTTGAAATGGCATTTTGTGAGTGCAGTTTAATGACCTATCAATCATTATAATGATGGATTTTGAACACACGAGATTTATCACTTAAATATTTTATGATTGTCCATTGAGTTAGTTTGCCTCTGAGACAATCCTATTTTAAAGTTCTCTTAGAGGATTATTTTCTTCATTTTAAAAGTAGAAAGACCACTTAATAGCCTTGTGGAATGTATGTTAGGGCTGTAATAGCCCTAGTGGTCTGTATGTTATGCTATTAATAGGCTTTGTGGACTGTATGTTGGCACTGTATATAGTTCTTATGGACTGTATGTTAAGGCTGTTTATAGGCCTTATGGACTATATTGGTGCTCTTTATAGCTCTTGTGGACTGTATGTTAGTGCTCTTTATAGCTACTGTGGACTGTACATTGGAGCTGTTTATAGCCCTTGTGGACGACAGTATGTTGGAGCTGTTTATTGCTCTTGCAGATTATATGTTGGGGTTATTTATAGCCCAGGTGTAGATTTTCATTTGTAAAAGACTGACTCTCTATTGAGAAATATCACATGCTTGTGGGATTCTATTTTTTATTTCCCATCAAGAATGTAGAAAACACACAAAGTTTTATGGTTTCCCATTAGGATGTTCATAAGACCGTAAGTCTGTCTAACAACAGATCTTAGTACTATATACAAGTCAAATGAAATATTGTCAAGTCATATTGTCTGTACAGACAGTAAATTTCACAACCACAGACACTTTGATGAGGGCTACAGCACATAGCTAAAGTCAGAAAAATTGAGTTTTCTTGTTTCACACATCAATTGTCATAATAATCATGAAAGATTAGGTGCACGTACATCATGGGGATTCTTGCAGTGTCATATTAAATGTATGTCTCTTTAATCTACATTCTGGCACAATTTTACCTTTCCTATGTCTTGGTTAAGATTTTCATTTAGCTATTAATAATAAAATAACCTTTGTTGCCAATATATAGTGGGGCATGTGTGTGTCCAAGTAACACAATTTTCTAATTAATATATTTTTGTGTTTTTCAATCTATTTGTCCAAACTACTTCTCTGACACCCAAAGATATGAGAAAACATCAAATAATTTGACTTTTGCAGACTGACAGACAATAATGCATTTGCTAAAGGAATAATTGAGTACTATACATAGTGGCTAAAAATATTCAAATAATCTGTACCTGTACATTACCTGATAAAAAACAAGAAAGAATACACATTTTTGCAATAATTTACTTCTGTTAATATAGATACATGATTGTCTCTCTTTCAGCCCTATTTCTAATGTCGCAGTGCTGCGGTTAGAAGACAGTCATCCCCTTATTCTACTGGAGCCAAATTCCCAGGACTCATTTCCCATATGGGCTATATTACTAATTGTTATCTTCATGGTACTGATAATTGTATTAGTAGCAGTGGTACTGTTATCAAGGAAACATGGTAATTATAGAGTTGAACATAACACTCCAGAAAGGGAGTGGATCCAGAATTCCAAAAATATATTATAGATTACAGTAAACCCTCAATAGAGAACAAGGTTTGTTTCCATAATATTTCATTCTCCGTCTGAGTTAACTTCATATGGAAAATATAGGGATGTATAATACAGTACAGTATATGTGGATCCCAGAAATTCTTTTATACTTAAAACTATTTTTCATTAAGAAGAGGGAAAAACGGCCTTTAAAACTTGCACACAAGGAGTCTAATGTCCGATAAAAAAATAAAAATAAATAAAATATATCGGCAATAATCCAGTACTGTACTGTACTAATTTTTGCCCTATTTGTTCAACTGCTTTGTTGGATACCCTCCCTCTCTCTTGCTAATTTCTAGGTCTAATCAGCAACACTTTATCAAATCCCTTCAATTTCTATTGAATTTTTGGTTCAAATTATAGGCCAGCACTTAATCGGACCTCTCTCTCTCTCTCTCTGTTGAGGACCTATTGTATATATTTTTGTGAAGTATGCGTATGTTCATATTTTACTATGTTTGATATAGATTTATTTTAGACTGTATTTAGAATATATTACAAAAGGGTGTATACATTACATTTGGATATTTATAACAACACTTACAAGTACAGTTGGCTCGATTCCTGACTTTAGCACTTAGCGTTGTCAATCCTCTCACTCCCCGAGGTATGAACCCCGAACTCTGAAGTGTGAATTCAAAGCATTCGCTAGTGAAAGAGTGAGAGCGAGGAAGAAGGGTGGGGTGGGTCAGGGTAGGTTTCTTTCTGTGTGTGTGAGGGGGGGGGGGGTGAGGATGGAAAGTGTACAGTATGTATATCAATTGGGAAAGCTTTCATTGCAGAATAACTCTTTGACAATACCGACAGGGTTTCCTCAACTGAGTGTAATCATCCAACACTAGCCAGATAAAAATACTAAATTTACAGTAGGATGAAAGGGGGATGAATTCATGCAAAAGCGAACATTTATTAGCAAATAGATTACGGATATGTTTGAATCTATATTTTGAAGAAGCAGCTAAGTTTTGTTTAACCCCTTGACTACGAGATGGAACTTCCCCAGCTGAATAAAATCGTCTGGTGGTAGCCAGAATAAAATAGATAAGAAGACGTTGTAGTGAAAGGATTAATTAGCAATCAATACAGTCAGGAAATTGGCAACACATATTTATCGTAATACAAACTGATGTGAACAAAGAATAGTTCAGTTGGCAGCAGTCAGATATAGAATCAGCAAACCACGTGGTTTAATTGTGCCAAAAAGATAGGTCCAATGGATAAAAAAATTATAACTCATAATAATAATAATATTATTATTATTATCAAATGTGCAATTTGTGATGCAAAGCTGTTGTTTAATGATGTTAAATAATAAAGTTATATGTTATGAAATGGACTTTATGGCAACCCTGGACGAAGGTGCAGGAGGAACCCTCGACTACCCACTCACTCCCCTACCCTCCCTGCTTCCACCACCCAATTCCTACTTTGGTAGTCGAATCACTACAGATAATTTACAAAGTAGAATAATGTTGTGTCCTCTCATTTCGATGAGACATTTATGATGGGAATACATATACAAGTGATACCCAGTATTTCAAGCAACAGTCATGAACCTATGAAGTAAAATCATGTTTGTTTGATTTTCTATTATCTGATTTGCTGCGGGGCAGAAGCAACTCTCGTCAGCGTGAGCCAATCACAGAATACAGTAAGCCCTCGTTTAACGTTGTTTCGTTATAACGTCACTACTCTTAAGATGCCCATGATTCAGACGTCCCAACCGATTCGTTATAACAATGTCACCCAACATGGACTACTTTGTATGGCGCATCACCCTCTCTCATCTTGGCGAGCTATGCTCTCTCATCTTGGCGCGCTACACTCTCTCGCGAAGCGTCACAGCGTCCCCAGTCTTTGTTAGGCTTCCACAGTGTACGTGTGTGCTTAAGTGTTTTTGCTATAAATACTGTACTGTAACCATTCAAAATGGCTTCCAAGCGCTCATCTAGTGTTGGTGATGCTAGTGTTGTGAAGAAGCAATGCAAGACCATTAGCCTTGCTACGAAAATGGAGGTTTTAAACCATTTTGAGAAATGAATGTGTTGTGGACATTGGTGTAGCACTAGGCCTAACCCCCACAACAGTGTGTACTATCCGGACCAGCACGGACAAGATTAAGGCTAGTGCTGGAAGTGGTACTTCTTTAAGTGCAACAAAGACAAGTCGTGCTCGAAGCACAGTGATAGGGAAGATGGAGAAGATGCTGGCTATGTGGATAGAGGACCAGAATCAACGCAATGCCCCAGTGAGCTTTATGGTCATCCAGCATTAAGCAAAATCCTTGTATGATGACTTAAAAGCCATAGATGGCGAAGGATAGAAGGATGAGAACTTTACGACCAGCCAAGGATGGTTTCAACGTTTCAAGCATCATTATAACTTCCAATATTAAGATGACTGGTGAAGCCGCTAGCTCAAAGATTGTCCGCAACATGGAGTAAACTCTTCAGTGTTATAATGAGATCTACAAGGAAAAAAAGAAAAAGGAGCACAAAGCAGTCAAAGCTGGATTCTTTTTTTCGTCATCGGGAGGCAGAAGCAACATCTTTACAACAGCCTTCAAGGGAGGAGGAGTTAACAGCATCCGAGGGGGAACCCCAGTAGAGCAGGAAAGGGAGCCCCCCTCTGGGTCTCAGTGACTCACCACCCTCCTCTTCTCTGCTATCTACCACACACACTCGCTCCACCTCTGCCGATCAGTGAGTAGAATACAAAATTATTTAGTTTATTTATCTTTTTGGATGTATAATATATATTTCTATAAAAATTACATTGAATTTATGTATATGTAATGTATTTTATGGGGCAAAGGGAGGCTGGGGAACGTAACTCCCGTATTTTATCTATTTCTTATGGGGAAAATTTATTCCGTTAATGTTGTTTCCATTAATGTTGTGTTTTTCAAGAACGTAACCACGACGTTAAGCGATGACTTACTGTATAGAGACAGCCAATCACTGCTAACCTGAGGTGATATGGTGACCCCAAAGAATTACAAGGTCACTTTCGACCTCCAAGTCTACGCAGTCGCATCATCACTCTCCACGAAGAGGACCTTAGTAACCGGGTCATGTTATTCCGAGCAGCGCTAACGAAGTAGCGAGTCAGGTGGTGACGAGATAAATATATAGCCTCGTGTTTCCTAGCTGGATTCGGAAAATTTTACTACAACCACATAGTTAGCACTGGCATCTGGGCAATCCTTGTGACATGACGGCACCCATAGACAGAGTTGCTGATAACCAGGGTGTGGGAGTTATTTGTTTCAGCTACTCTTTCACATTATTGTTATTTAGAATAAATGTCCTTTTCCATATATTCTGAGTATTTTAATTACACCTTATACTACTTGCCTGCTATCGCTATACTCTGGGCTCAGTTCACCCTGACGTGAGTCAGCCTTTGTGACCGTTGCTTGAAATACTGGGTATCACTTGTATTTGTATTCTCATCATAACTGCCTCATGAAAATGAGAGGAAACAATATTATTCTACTCTGTAAATTGTCTGCAGTGATTCCACTACCAGCAACCCAGAGTACGAGTTGGGTGGTGGAGGCACGGCAGATGGGGTCGAGGGTTCCCTCTAGTGTACAACATAGAAACTTCATCACTTTTAAGACCTTTAAGCAATAATTATATCACTTTGCATCATAAATTGCTCATTTGATAAAAATAATAATAATGAGACAGTCAATAGTTTGTTACTCATTTAACCTAACTGTTTGGCACAATTGCACTATGTGGTTTGCTGATTCTATACCAGACAGCTGCCAACTGAATTACTTTTCCTCAGATCAAGTTTGTACGTATTACATAAATATGTGCTGCCCACTTCCTGATTGTTTTGATTACTAATTAATCACTTCAGTACGATGTCTTCTTATCTACTTTATTCTGGCAACCGACACACGATTTTATTCAGCTGGGAAGTTCCATCTCCTATAGATTGAAACATATCCATAATCCAACTTACTTAGAACATGAATTCGTCCCCCTCTCATCCTACTGTAGCTACAGATATATTATTTTCATCTGGCTAGCGCTAGATGATTACACCCAGCTGATGAAACCCCTATTATCAAAGCTTTATTCTACACTGTAATCTCTCCCAACTGATATACTGTACACTTTCCCTCCTCACTACTTAGTCGTACTCTGTTTCACCCCACAAGAAGACACCAACCCCCCCCCTCCCCCCCTCACACACACACTCCCTCCCACTCACTAATGAATGAATCAGTTTCACACTTCAGGATTCGGGGGTTCAAACCTGAGGGAGAGAGAGCATTGGCAATGCTCGGTGGTAAAATCAGGAGTGGAGCCAATTGTACATATACATAAACACACATGCACATACAGTACTTATACAGTACTGTATTGTACACAAAAACCTCTGTATTTTTATTTCAGTACAGTACAGTATGTGATATATTTTGTGTAATTAATTAAACAGTATAACCTTTGAAATCTGTAAAGGACCAGAAGCATGATGGATTTGTAAATTTTCTGAACAATGTCATTCCCCCTTAAAACAATGAATATCCTAAAGCAAGCTGTGATTGTGTTTAGTGGCAAGTAACTATTAAGCAGTTTTAGTTTTTGGCAAAAATCATACACTGTATTCCTTATTACTGTACTGGCATCCCCTGGGATACAGAAGGATTCCATCCCCGAAAATCTTTCCGTAACGTGAAATTCTGTAACGCGAAACTATTTTTCCCATTTGACTTCCATTATAAAAGTTGAGATGCGTTCCTACATAAATTTTTTGAGGCCCAAAAATGTGACACTAGCACATATATGAAATTAAATGGTTTTAACCACATACAATGAGTCATTCATGATGTAACATGATAATAAATGAACAAAACACTAAAATTTTACTTCCCAGAAATGATGTTGAGTGCTGCAGGAGGTGGTGCAATGAGAGTTACCTCCATAAAACATTAAGTTTAATGTCCAATGCAATTTCTTTATGAAATCTTTTATCACCACTGTTTTCACTTGAACTTGATGATCTTTTTCCACTCCTCTTAAATAAGGGTACACAGTAACACAGATGCATAACTGAACACAAACTGGGTAATAAATTCAAACTGAGCAGTGCCATTGTTGTTGTGGCTGCTACCAGCTGGAGAATGTAGCCAGAATCCACACAAAATAGATTCTATAATTTTGATAAAGTTTTTGTTCTGTATCACATTTTTTCTTTTGAAAATCTGAACGGCGAATACAGTCCTCTACTCAGACGCATAACTGAACACAGGCTGGGGAAAAATTCCAACTAAACAGCCCCATTGTTATGATGGTTACTGGGAACTGGGAAGGTAGGTGGTCTTCCAACCGCCTTGTGACTATGGCAGAGGATCAGCATGAATAATTTTTACCATTTTGGTAAAAATTTTTATTAAATATTTTTTTTTTTTTTACCCAAATTTTGTAAGGGTGACCTTTTTTTCCGCACCCCAAATTTTTGGTTATATACATAATTTAAAAATTCCGTCAGGGTGAAATTCCATAACCAGGGATTTTGTAACATGGGGGATGCCTGCACTCAAAATATGATTCAATTTGTCAGAGTAATGGAAAAGGTGAAAATATTCAAAGATAAGGTGAAAAAGATGGCATGGTCCATTAAACAAGGATACTGCAAATCATTTATAATGAGTGACAAAACAAAGCAATTGAAATAGTCCTAATCCATTTTAATAATCTTAAAATATTTTTCTGCTAAATTGAGTAGGGTTTAGTTGGTTTGTGTCATATGGTATCATTATTGGCTTTCACTTGCCTTGATTACAAGACTACTGCAACACATTTTATGCTTATTTCACTGAATTTCATTCATTCTACTTTGTTCTGGTAAGGCAATTTTTTTCAGACAAAATTAACACTTATAATTCCTGAAACTCATTGCATTGATAGGATGATGTCTTTCTTATAACTGGCACTTATCCCACAGAGTTAAGAGTAAGTCAGTTTCCCAGTGTACCTACATTGTAAGTTTTTCTTTAATTTACTTTTCCCTTTACTGTATAATTTATTCAGCTCAACAATAAACAGAACTTCAAACTCTGGCTACTGATGTGTAATAACAAACAAATGATGTGGCTGGCCTATAGAGGTTCGCACACGCCACTACAGTGACCCCTCGGTTAACGAACTCAATCCGTTCCAGAAGGTCGTTCGTTAACCGAAAAGTTCGTTAACCGAAACCATTGTTTCAATGGGTTTTTGGGTAATTGGTTCCAGCTCACCGAAAATTTCCTAAATTCAACAAAAATGGTAGAAAAGTTCACTTACTTTGAGGTGTGTATGTAGAAGGCTCCTGGATGATGATGATGGGAATTAGAATGGGGGTGGAGGAGAAGGAAGAAGAGAAGGCATTGGGGTGGAAGAGAAGTCACCCCGTGGTGCCATTTCACCCATAAAATTTTAGTTCTCTTGGTGTATTTCAAGATTATTTTCTTTAAATCAACACTGCACTGCATTATATATTGTCAATATGTAAAATATATTTCAAAATGACCAATAATTTCCTTGGAAACACAGAAAAAAGCGTTTAGTTGAAGAGAGTCTCAAGCAAGATGTTACCTCCAGTGAAAACACAGCGACTAACGCCTGTTTGCTGTGTTAAGAGGCTGGATGCCGCGCATTAAACTAGTCACTTTACCTTCAATTATGTTCAATAATTGTTAAAATGACTAAAAAATTGAATATTAAACTTTTAAAATTATTGAATAGTATAAACTTCTTGATATTTACTAAAATAGTAAGGAATTTAAGCCCTAGAACCGATTAATGTATTGGCGGACTGATACTAATGCTGGTTGCCCGGTCAGTGCAAGCGAAAACATGTTGAGGTCGGTTCGTAAGAAATTCGTTAACCGAATTTTTGTTCGTTAACCGAATTGAAGATCCTTATGGAAGGCAGTTCGTTAACCAAGGCGTTCGTTAAACGAGGGGTCACTATATTTTTCCAACCAAAATTTACCTTGGTTACTAAATCATGAATATTCTGTACTCAATTTGTAACCTATCTTAGTTTGAAATATGGCTATACACTGTATATTCATTCAGAGTACTGGACAAATCCACAAAATCAATCGGTAGCATTGACTCAAGTGAATCTAGCCGAGTACCTATTGTTTATCTGATCAGTTCAAAATAATATGTCATCTGCTATCTGTGAGCTCCAAATTGATTTTTAATATTTTTTTCTGACAATCCCTGATAACTGAGCTCTGGCTTTTGAAGGATCTACTGTACTTCAATTGATAAAGAAACAATTTATCAACAGTAAAACTGTTTTTTTTTATCCACCTTATAAGAATATTTGCCTTATCTGTAACAAGTTCAAATCATTTTTATGTTATAGTACAACCTTAAAAATCCAGAAATATTATAATAGAAAGCATTCTTGGCATGTGAATTTCCTATTTTCTGGACAGGGTCACTCCAGCCCTATATACTACTCTGCTTGAAACCATGAAGCATACTGAAGTTGTAATTCCCAAGGAAAAGTTGGTTGTTTAGTGGTGCACAGCTATTACATAAAATTTTCGAACAAAATCATGCATACAAATGTCATTAATTACAAACAACATAACAGCTTCCAAAAGGAATACACTACAGTGGAATCTCAATAAACTGGACTAATTAGGGCAGACCCCAATCCGGAAAATGTGGAAAAAAAAAATTATGGGGTCCGGACATAACCTTGCTTATCTGGACTGTTTCCAGAAAATCAGACATAAGTCTGGTTGTCGATAACTGTTTTCACTGTTACAGGGGTGCAGCCAGATTTTGAAAACTATACGCACAAGGTGGTCTGTCAGGCAGTGGGGGCATGGAGAGCGTAGAGAGCCCATACATCAGGGGGGTCCGTAGAGGGCAATTTTTTTTTTAAACTGACCATTTTCAGGGATATCTTGAGGCCATATGAACTGGCCATTAGTATATATTCTAAGGTTGAAGATACAATATTTCGAACATTCATAAATGTGATTAGAGGATGGTCCACCACTGTTGTATGGGAGGGGAAATAACAAAAACATTTATTTGGTTCAAAATAAGTTTATTACAAATTCATCCTTTCTCTCACTACGTATATATTCAATACATCTATTTTTGTTTTATCTATAAACACTACAGGTATATTATTCAATATACCTACTACATACAGTAGTACCCCGCTTAACGCGGTCAATAAAACCCACAGGGTACCGTGTTAAGTGAAAACCGCGCTAAGTGAACAACAGAACATATGGGATTAATTCCAATAGAAACTGGCCCGACCCCCAAACTCCACTTTTTCCGACACAATACCTATGTTCTAGTAAAAATAACATCTTAATTTTATGATGGTACATGCACACAATTAATACTTAAGAGAAATAGAGAAATACAGTGGCCAAGTTAATGTCCATTCAAATAATGGACTCAACTCCCTCCCCTCTTCTCACACTACACTGCTGGCTCTTCCCTCTCTTGCGAAATTTTTGGGGGAAAACCACTAAATTTTAATAAATAATACCTCAAACTAAAGTTAGGATAATACAATTGACATTGCTGGATTCCTTGTAAGACCAGGAATATTTTGAATATAAATGTCATATATTTTGCACAGAAGATAACATATTTACTCAGAGTAAACATTACGTCTAAAATTTGTATGTCAAATGCAAAATCTATGATGTTTATATTCAAAATGATCATCAAATTATAAGAATTCCAGCAATGTAAATTATATTCTGACCGGGTAATTTGAATGAATTTTATGAGCTAAAACAAAAATCTTCCGTTAATAAAAAAAATAAAATATTTTTCACACGGTAACAGATGGTCGGTCGGTCCCTCCCTCCCCCCCACCCCCCACCAACCGTCCCTACCAGATGTGTGGGAAAACCAGAATATCATCAAGATCTCTATTTGTTGCCAATCAGGGGCACAGACATTATCCCCCAAGTAATAACTTAAGCGAAAATGCCTACGTGCGTGCTATCACCCGGCAGGGTTGACAGTGCTGAGCCGCTAACATAGCGCTTTATTGGCAACAGCGTTCACTATTACTCTAGCAATATTTATTGGGTTGAGAATTCCACCCTGATTTGTTCTCATATAACCCATATAAGGATGTAAAGTCCATTTCAACATAACTCTAGATTGCTAGGAAGACCGAGAGGTCAGCATTCCGGAAGGAACGCTAAGTATAGCAGCCTCGCTAAAGTTCGCCTGGAAAGGCTGAACCCGCTACTGAGGACATCAATAAAATAAAGTTATGAAGAGAAAACTCAACTCTGACCTTTATGCTGAGAGCAATTAGAAAACCGAGGGCGGAAGACCAAAGGTTTTTTGTGAATGAACATAAGAGTAGGAAGAGAGATAGTCACATGGCATTCATACTTGCACGTGAATAATTGGGACAAAGAAAACCGTAAACAGTATAGTACATATATATGTACGGGTATACAGTTGTACCCCACTTAACGCGGTCAATAGAACCCAGAGGGTCCCGCGTTAAGTGAACAACAGAACATATGGGATTAATTCCAACAGAAACCAGCCCGACCCCCAAACTCCACTTTTTGAAGACACATAACTATGTTGTAGTAAAAATAACATCTTAATTTTATGATGGTACATGCACACAATTAATACTTAAGAGAAATAGAGAAATACAGTCGCCAAGTTAATGTCCATTCAAATAATGGACTCGACTCCCTCCCCCTCTTCCCTCTCTGAGAAATTTTTGGGGGAAAACCACTAAATTTTAATAAATAATACCTCAAACTAAAGTTAGGATAATACAATTGACAATGCTGGATTCCTTGTAAGACCAGGAATATTTTGAATATAAATGTCATATATTT